GGGGTGAAGTCGAAGAAAAGAAGGGTTCCTACTCTTTTGAGCCATGTAATATTGTTTTGGAGAGGCCGTTAGATCTTATTTCTTGTCCGAACATTTTACCAAGGACGAAGAAAAGGAGAAATACTGTTATTTTAAAAGATCTCGACTTCAAGGAAGAATGGATAATAAACTGCATCGTGTCTTGGAAGCTGAAATACTTTGGTCATAGCATGTGCCATTGGCGGATAAAAAAAAAATAGCAGAAAGCATGGTACCAGGAAGTAGGGGCGTGGGTCGACCAACACCAAGATAGGCACAGGATACAAGTTGACTCACTGAATATGAAAGTACACGAGGCGTGAGAGTTGGCAAGAGACCGAGTTTCTCTCAGGCAGAGCGTGAAGACTGTGACGTTCTGCAAAGGACCTGCTACATGACTCCTACATTTTCCGCTGTCTCTAAAACAGGTTCAAAGTGCCAAATGGAGAGGACTGTATCCAATAAATCCATGTCAACGGAGGCTAGAAAAAGAATTCTCGTATGTTATACGGAGCCAATTTTAACAAATGATCGTGAATTCTGGACAATTAATGAACCAGCCAAACAATAGCGTAGATGTTGGTTTTACAAAATAATCCTTATAAATTCTAGGTTCTTAATTAATATCTTACCCCAGACGACGCCACATGACAGTCCAACATTTTAGAGAGTGGTAAGACTAGGTTTCTCAGCGTTCTAATGCTTTTAACGACCCCAAAACATCTAGAACTGACCCTAACCACAACCTACGAGAGAAAGCAGCCTAGGTCCCACGAATGCATGCAGGGCAGGTCCTACGACTGCATGCAGCCCATCTACCACCCCCCTGAAATATTAGACTGTACCGTGACCTGTGGATTTCCACTGTTTAGGGTGGGATATTAATATAGCACCAAATTTCCTGGTAGGCAAAAGGAGCAACGCTGATTTTAATAGAAACGAGGGCTCCAAGACAACTTATCACAGACATCATACAGAGATGGTCATCTTTTTTTTTTGTGTGTGTCATGTTGTGGGACGAATCAAACTGGCACATGTGACCACTAGAAAGATCTGTGGAAAAAGAGACAGAAGAAGACAAGGCGAGACGATTCTTGACAGCCTTTTGCTCAAATCATAGAGGGGTGTCAACTGTCAACATACGAAATGAAACATGTTAAAGTTTGCAGACTGTGGAGATACATAATCGCCCTAGCCTGTCGGCAAGATACTTGATGACGATGATGCATTATGAATGTGTTAGTAGATTGAGCCTTAAATTAGCATCTCCCAATGGCCCTCAACCACACTCATAGCATGTCCTTTGTTGACCACACACACATATATATATATTAGCCACCGTGGCGTAACTGCAAGACTCTCGCATGCGGATCCGAAGGTCGTGGGTTCAAATCCAAACAGAGCCCGACCTTTTTTTTAAGCGATCTTGGCTCCCAGTCTGGGTAACAGTCAAATTAAGTAAAGGCGATCGGTGCGATACTGACCACATCGTCCGAGTGCCGATTGGTCTATTAAAAAAAAGGTCTACCCCCAAAAGCCCAATACCTCCGATGAAGTGGGAAAAGGGTTTAACATATGCAACATTCTAAATGTAAACTTACAATACTACTCACAGCACACGCAATCAAGCTGCTTTCCCACGGATGCACTAATATCACTCACGCGTTAACTAAATTCACACCCTATAGCAGCGGTTATCAAGCTTCTTTTCGCCACGGCCACCTGGTCGGACTAAAAAAGATACAGGTTGCCTTAAAGTTGTTGAATACCTAAGAAAAGAAGGAAAAAAGTGCAAATTTTATGCTCAGTTGTCTTTAATGTGATGAAGGAAACTATCTGGATGAATTTTTCAATACGGCACCCCTGGGACACGCTCGCGGCACCCAGTTTGAAAACCGCTACCCTATGGTATCCGCGCTACAGAGTACGTCAGCTGTTGTGGAAATTATAAATGAAAATGCATCCGCCTTTTCTCTACCCACGACCACGATTCAAGTCCTGACTACAGCGGGCCCCGCTGTGCCTGAAACTAGCCAGTTTTACGGACTTGATGGCCGCACACGCAGTTGGTGTTGACAATAATTGCAAATGTGTCTCCCCCCGGTAGGGGAATGGTGAGAGATTCAGAAATCATTGAAAAATTCGAACTTGGGCAGGTGGAAGTTTGTGAAACGCACCCACAGTGACCCCTAAACCACAGACCAGTGCTTTCATTAAAACAGAATGCGCCAAAATATTCAACTAGCCACCCACGTAGTACTACAGCTACAGAAATGACCTCCTTGGGTTACGTGCAAAGGTGACCTCCTCTTTTGAGTTCTGTGAAATCATTTGGGGGGGGGGGGGGGCTCCCGAATACGCGTACTGGCGACCCCCCCCCCCCTTTTTTTTCATCACAAGCTTGACGTAACAGTCGACTAGCTTGGGGTGTTTCTTTGAAGCCGGAGTGCATCTTCCCCAGAGGAGAGCCACCAGAAGTCTGGATACAAATAAGCCACAAATGAAAAACAGATATGCATGCAAAACTCAACTTCTGGAACAAAAGTAGACTTCAGAAGTGGGCAAACCACCAGAACTTTCTGCTGCATCTTACAGTCGGTGAACGCAAAGGAGGGGAGATTAGCTCTTTCTGTCATAAACAACGCGCTATGCGTGACTGGGTATTATTCGCATGTACTAGTCAACGTGTAATTTATTTTTTTTTTACATCTTATGTTTAGTGAAGGACTCTGTTGACAGGATATTCTGTTTCCTGCAAAGGCTGCAATTTTGCATCTCTGGAAGAAGTACGGGTACTTCAATTTTAATTCAACCAAAACAAAGGAAATCCTGGGGCTCCTGGGAAAATCCAATATTCTGGGAGTGTTTGGGTTGGGGTTAGGGTTAGCCAGTGTCTCTGGGAGCGGTCGAGGTTGACAAAGATCAGCTTCATGTTCGTTCTAGGGCACGTGCGTTACCGTGGTATGCCCTACCAAATTCATTTCAAAATATAGCACCCCTACAATAGTGGATTTTCCCGGTACTCCTCGATGTCCTTTGCATAGGGTAAATTAAACCTGAAGTACCGAAGCACACTGGTTCGGGTTCTGGCGGAGCCTGACTTTTTTCCAAAAATGACCTTTACTCGTTGGTCGACCCAGCCTTGAGTGGGTACCAGGTGCAGTCCTGAGAAATCAAGGCGACACCAGCATGATGCTGACCACATCACCCACAAGGTGAGAATTGGCGTATAAAATATAGGTCTAGCCATATACGCTTAAAGGCGTGGAAGAGGGTCCTTTACTTATACTTTAACTTTACCAAAGTGCACCCGTGAATTTAGTTATGCCGATCCTAACTTCCTCGAACATTAGCTAGGACCTTGTGGGACCAGAACAGTTAAAAATACAATGAGCCCAAAAATACATTCAACCGCCCACACAAAACAACAGCTACAGAAATGACCTCCTTCAGTTACACTCAAAACAGACGAGTTGTTACAGCCAGCCGTTGATTTGGTGGTGGGGGGGGGGGGGGGGGGAATTAACTACAAAATTAATGATGTGTTGAGATAAAATATTAATGAGCATGCAAAAATATGGGCTGATGACGAAAGTAAATGAACTGTGTGCCAACCATTGCAACAGTCCGGTGTGCGTAGATGCCAGTTTTGTGGTTTTCACTTATTCAGCATTCACCCTTAAAATAGTAGTTAGCATGTTGTGTTGTGGTTTACAGCTTAGCTGTGATATCTGTGCATTCTGGTACAACACATCTTTAGGCCTTCTTCCCTTTAGGGTGTCTTTAGGTCTTCTTCCTCTTGGTGTCTTGGGGCCTTCTTCCCCTTGGTGTCTTTGGGCCTTCTTCCCCCTGGTGTGTCTTAAAGCCATCTTTCCCTTTGTGTCTTAAAGTGTCTTTGGGCCTTCTTCCCCCTGGTGTGTCTTAAAGCCATCTTTCCCTTTGTGTCTTAAAGTGTCTTTGGGTCTTCTTCCCCTTGGTGTATCAGCCCAACACAATTCTTTATTGGTAGCCTTTTACAACATGTTGGTTGGCAGGCAATGTGTCTATCCTTTTTTTGCGACTAAATGGGGCTCTAGAACCCAATAGGGGAAATCCATGTGTTGTTACATCTGCCAAGATTTACTCTACTCTGTGTCTGAAGTCAGCAAGTTCTGTAGTCAAATAACGTATGATTTTACTTACTGACATGTACACATCTTTAATGTGCCTGGAATATCAACACTGCTTGGTGATTGAAATTCTTCTTAAGGAGTCACATAATATTCACAACTTCTGTCATTTCTTCTTCTTCACCGGCTGAGAATTTTTAATTGTTCTGGTTAGGACTCTAGTTTGGTTCCAGATCCTGAGTGTTGCATGCACATCCATTTCACAGATCTGGCCTATCTGTTTGCAGAATGCTGTTTCCTTGCTTCTCAGACAGGTGCACTGCGACTTCAAAGGAAGCCCTCCAGTTAGTCGACTTTTACAACAATCTTGTTCAGGGGGCAGTGGGCCTTTGTTGCCCCCCCCCCCAAATGGGGCCCTGGAACCCACACAGGAAGCTTAGTGATCTACATGCTTCTTCAGGAGTCACCTAATAGACGCAACTTCAGTTATGTGATATAGTTTTTTCAATGCCCAGTCGCTGATGGCTCAGCTGGCTAGGACACAGAGGATAGAGGATCGCAGAGTCCCCTGGGACACCCTTTGTGATGAATTACAGATGGCTAAAAGATTTTGGGGTCAGCCGATTTAAAACCGTGCACAAGTAGAACATCAAGATGTGGATTTATGGAAACGGATACCATGAATCACATTCATGGAGGGGGGAAATCAGGAAGGGAATAGGGATGGGGAGGAGGGAGGGGGGTGGGAAGAGACTGTATGTAGACAGGTTGAGAGACGAGCAACACAATGGTCTGAAATCTCATGCATTTATTGTGAAAGATTCTTTACCAGAAAAGCTCTCTCTGAACTCCCAAAGTCAATTTTCAGTTGACTTGATTGTATTGCTATAAACCACTGGTTTATATTGTAAACATTCCTCTTGTGAATATCCTTTTTCATGAATAATTCTGAAGAAAGAAACAAATTAAATATATAAAACAAAACAAAAAAACATTACATGCATGTAAGTAGACTAGTTAATATCTTGGCTGTTTATCATTATCTGGTTAACATGATTGTTGCACACCTTCTCATTGACTATGACATATGCAACTTACAAAATCCTCATTTATGACCACATGAGAAAAAGTAAATAAAAACAGCACATTTAAAAAAAATACAAACTACACTGGTAGGGTCAAAAAGCCTAAAGAACTAATGCCTAGATCACAGCCTAATTGTAAGCATACTGAATCTGTCTTTTATGTAGAGTTTTAAAACCCATTTTTCAATACTATTGGGAAAGTCCTACTCAGTATGTTTTTTCCCAAAAAATGTAACTACTTTCTTTCCTAATCAATGCACCTTATGTACACAGCGTATATCTGTGTGTATCAGCACAGTACACAGTCTATTATTATTTACTGTCATGTTTGGTCAGGGTATGCACAAGAAATCTGACCAAATATTTTAAATGTAATGTTCAGAGTCAGTCAGTTACCCCCCCCCCCCCCCCCCCCCCCACAGATGACCCCGAAACCCACAAGGGTAGCATTTGAGAATCAATGCAATATGAACTAGGGCTGCACCGAATATTCGCTTCGTATTCGCTTCGGGGCCGAATAGTGGACCTATTGACTATTCTGTCAAATAGTTGCGGTCGGGCCGAATACGAATAGTAGTTACCTTACACCCGCTTCTGCATACACGGCCTTGAGAACGATTGGTTTCGTTGAAAGCTAATGCAGCTTTCATGCATTAACTAAGCTGTCAGTGACAATTTACAAGTTTAGTTACTTGTTATAATACTTAGGATTCTTTCATTCCTAGTTATTAGTTACCACAGACTGACTGAAGGATGCAAAACATAAAATGTTTTTAAATGTTTACTATTCTGTACGCATACTAACTAGACATGGAAAGAATATAAACTCCAGCCATACCCAAGTCGATAATATGAAAATCAAACGAACATAAGTACTTGGGTGCAAACTTCGACTGCTCCAACATGCTGAGAGAAGAAATACAATCTAGAATACAATCTAGAAAAAAAGTATACTTCAACATCTGGTAAAGTCAAAGTGCTGTCTCGCAACACCAAGATCAAAATATATAAAACGTTGATAGGACCAGTCGTTTTATATGGCACTGAAACTTGAAGTAGAAATACAAGAGATGAGGCCTTATCACAGGTTTTTGAAAACAGTCTTACGACAAATCTTTGGACCCATCAAAGATGCTGACAGCGGGGAATGGAGAGTGAGAAGCAACAACGTAACACATAATCTGTTTAAATCACCATTGATCACTGGCATCATGAGAGCTAACAGACTAAAACGGTTGTGGCATATTGAAAGAATGTCAGACGACAGAGAAGTAAGACTATACACCTGAGAGAGGAATGGGCGTAGACCACGAGGCAGACAAAAAAAAAGTTCGAGAGATAATGTCCAGCCAGACCTGCAAACAACTTGTGTCACAAATTGTGAAGAGAAGGCCAGTCAGAGAGATGAATGGAGACGAGTGATATCTGCAGCAGTAAACCTTAAGTGTTCACAAGGCTAAAGAAGAAGGTGACTCTTTTGTGCTACTTTATGTGAAGTAAAAGTTCCGCTTTCTTGTGACATTATAAGTGGTTTTTTTTTTTAGATACATTTCATACACAGTACACTATTTGTATTTCGGCCGAATAGTTGGTCCCGTTATTCGTATTCGGCCAAATAGTGAAAATCACTATTCGGTACAGCCCTAATATGAACAAATGTTCTTGATGTGTCCAAAAGTTGTCATTAGTGACGTCATCAAGAAAGTGTAGGTTATAGGACTGCACATGGCATCAGGAAATGAGCTCCACTGTCAAGATAAGGCTAGCACCCCAAGGATATGAACACACAACCACTGTACGGGCAGGCAAGCACCCTGATCATTGCGCTATTGCAGTGCCATGCATCCATCTACTGTGCATACTGTCTATATTTTCTCCATGCAGCAAATCACTGTAACTTCACCCAGTGTCTGTGTTCATGCGACCTCATGTTATGGAAAACTCAACAGATCCACTGTCCCCTAGCAAGCATGGTGTGGGTTCCGGGGCCCCACTGTGGGAAAAATAAGAATAGACCCACTGCCCCCCCCCCCAGCAAGCATGGCCTAGAAGTCAACTAATCTGGGAAATCGTTACAAGTCAGAGTGCATCTGCCTGAGAAACCAACAGCCTGCATACAAATATATCAGAAAACTTATGTGGAAGCAACACTCAGGCTCTGGGGTGAGACTAAAGTTCAGAGACGTACGAACCACCACAACTTTTTACTGGAGTTTACAGCCAGTCAGCGCAAAAAGAAGAGATAAGGAGTTTAGAGGAAAAGGTGCCTAGCTGTAAACTACAACACAACAGGCTAACTGACCTATTAAAAGTGAACGCTGAACTTTGACATTCCCCCTCTCTATATGTAATTCTTTAAACATTCGTGTTATCTAATTAGTTAGGTGTGGAGAGAATTTGCCTCGTTTCTGTATCAAATATGAGCACACCACTTTGGAAAATGGGGGGGGGGGGGGGGGGGGGGGGGGGGGGGGGGGGGGGGGGGGGGGGGGGGGGGGGGGGGGGGGGGAGAATATAGACAGACAGTAAGAAAGACAAAGACACAGCTCAAGAGACAGACAATTATAGAAAACAGAGATATTATTAAGAGGGGAGAGGCATAGTGGAAAAAAAACTGAGACAGAAGGGCAGATAGTGATAAACTGAAAAGCAAGAGAGGCAGAGAGAAATACAGAAACAGTTAACAAGTAGAGCTATCAAGACAATCAACAGGGATGTAAACAATAAATTTCCTGTTACACAGGGCAGTCTCACATCATTTGTAACCCACTTAAGAGCTCCTCCATCCTTGACCCTCTCTGAAACACTAGTCACACTGAAGTGCCTCCAGCTGTGTTCACACACATTAATCTTTTCTGTCAAGTCTACAAATGTGCAGGGCACAACACGAACAGTTAACACCATGCCTTAACATACAGGATTAGAGGGGAAGGATATCAGATTTATTTGTAAACTATACATAGCTGACACTATTATGAAGATATCCTAACATAAGTATGAACGCCAAGAAACAGATTATAAACAGCATATTCATACCACATATCTCTCCTCAGTGTTACTGGTAAAAGTTACTCTAGAATTCCTGAGCAGAGACTTAGAAGTCTGGCACAGCCACAGCTGGATCAGTCCCAATGCGGCTTCAGAGCAAATGGAAGTTCTCAAGGCTTTCACACTCAGACAGAGTGAAAAAGCCCCTTGTATATAAGAGTGAGATGTACCTATGTTATTTTTTTTTATCTAGAAAAGGCATTTGATAGGATTCCATGGAACAAGCTCTGGGACTGCTTGGCAGGGAAAAACATCCCAGCACCCCTGATCAGTGCAATTAAGAATTCATATAAAAGCTGCAGAAATTATGTCAGAACAGAAGACCACAAGTCAGAATAATTTCACACCACTAGCGGTGTTAGACAAGATGATATTCTTTCAACTTACCTCTTCATTCTTATGATGGATGATGTCATCAAGACCTGTAAGGAGAAGTACTCCTATGGAGGTCTTTTCCAGGCCATAAATCTCAGTAAAAGAGAAATTAACAAGAAGACAAAAATGGTTGTTTTCCGCTCTACTTATGTGCCAATCTTGACCTATGGGTTTGAGTCATGGACAATGATAACAGCTCACAGAAGCACGCTTGTTTAGAGGCTAGTCTGGTATGGGTATGACACGGACGGACCATATGACATTAGTGAATGTTTCATGTCTGCATTTACATGACCAGGACTTGACCTTGAGATCACTGAGATAAACTGAAGACGGTAGGAAGTCATGACCAAACAAGTAGTTTGCTTGTGTAACCGATTGTGTTATGTTAGGCAGTAGTAGTATCTCTGTGTTACACAGTGTTCGACAGAGATAGGTTCTGTGTAGGGTGTTTCGGGAGTAGCTAGTTAGGTATTACAGTTGGTAATGGCAGCTAAGATTGGTTTGTACTGGTTACTGAGATTTGTTCTGTCCTCACGCTGCCCGGCTCTCTGCAGACGCTCCGCGCTTCTGGTGTGGAGTTCAGTGACGGAAGAAAGAGCTGTACAGAAGTGGCGTGGGTTTAGATCCAGGTGGTATCCATGAAAGGTGGTTTCTAAAGCCCTTACAGTCTTTGTTTCAGACAGGGGTACCCAGGAATTCTGAGGCAAACAACTGTCTGTTTTATTGTTCTATACATTAAAGATTGTTGTGTGCTCTGTAGGTGTCTGGGTTTAGTGTTTTGATGGAGATTCATCTGTCATGGGCCTACAACTCAAGCCAATGCCATTTCGGCAGATACAAGGTCTCTGACACCGCTTCAGGCCTCAGAAATGAGATATAAGAAAATTGGTCCAAGTGACAAGAAGGGACAAAGTCCACAGTCAGATAATAGGTCAAAATCTTGAAACATGGGCCCTTACAAACCCGAGTGGATCAGTCACAGTTATGATGGTTTGTAAATGTTTGCCGAATGGGAGAAAATCTGCCACCATGGCAAGCATTGAAGGCTAAGAACCAAAGAACCAGACCTCCAGGGTGACCTACGATCTGCTCGGAAGACAGTGTCAGACAGTCCCTGACTGACACAGGACTGGAATAGAACAAAGCCAGAAAGAAAACTGCTAATAGAGAAGTATGGCGATCTTTCTGTCAAACCTCTGCACTCCAAGGTAGAAGAGGAGTGACCAGGTAAGTAATTAATATCCATACCAACACTGTGCTACCAGTGACATACTTGGGCAGTGTCAAAGGCTAACCTATGTAAAATAAACACACATGAAAAGCTGCCAACATAATGACCCAAGACAAAGTTGGAAATGATATTATCAGACAGTCTGTGGGACACAACACCATGCAGCAAATTCACTGATGGTTTGGACACCTAATGAGAATGTAGCCAGAACAACTACCAACACAGGCCCTATACATGAATAGATCTGATGTGAAACCAAGAGGCTGCCTTCGGATGAAAAATGACTGATGACATTAAAGAGCTTCAAAACTGACAATATTCACTGTTCCTCATCAAGCAGTGGATCGCAAAGTGTTACTCCCCCCAATGCTTAAGAGCACAATGTGTCTATGGTCGGGGCCGCCAGAAGAGCAAGAATCTTATACAACACCAGAAGCAGTAAAACAGGAAGTGAAGAAGATCTGATAACCTGATTAAACAGACACAGTTTACAGTATTATTTGCCGCCATGTTTAAACTTTCCAGCTGTATTGTTATTTTTCTTGTCTAGTAATTTTCTAAAGGCAAATTTCTCTGTTCTGTTTCATTTGAAATAAATGTAATTAATCAATCCTTGTAACTTTGATGAGTTGAACTGTAACATCTGCAGTTGACAGTGTAGCAACACGCCTTTAAAGCCTTCACAAATTATGGAGCTCTGACTGATACAGCTTTAAGACCAAACTACAAATTCTGACGTTATTTCAATTCTAACAGATATTAGTGAAAGTTGGAGAAACACCAAAGATAGGGAATTAAAGTTAAATGCTTCAAAAATTATTAGAGAAAAATTATGAACATAAAATGGGATGAATTAAAAAGACAGGAGATACAGAGAAATATCTGGACAAATACATGTATCACTGCAATAAGACAAAGAAGGTGATGATACACAGGGTACACTCTGAGATGAAATGAGAACAGAATTACAAAACAGGCACTGAAATGTGAAACAAATAGTCTAAGAGAAAAAGAGGACATCAAAGGAAAACATTTTTTTTTAAAAACATTACTATGACAGGCATAAAATGCTTGGCTGAACTACATGTCAGAAATCTAGAAACTTTAATGCAACAGAGCAGAGTGGGGGAATAGAATGCAAACCCTATGTGACGACTAACGACACACAAAAGATGATGATGATGGGTTGACAATATCTGTTTTCACTTTCTCCTTTATATTATTTTTTTCTGTCAGTGGTATTCTCAAAATGCTCCTGGAGCTTCACAACATCAAAGTTTTCTACATATTCACTATTATATTATTCATTAAAAGAGTAAAACATGGATGGTATCACCTGAGCTCGGTGAAGATCTACTGTTGTAGAGAGAGAGAAAAAAAAAAGACAGAAGCACAAGGTTGTAAAGCAGGAAACTTCCTTCATGCTCTGCGGGCGTGTCAAACAAACACAAATAGTCAAAAGACGAATGAAAGGATCTGTGTCAGTGTCAAGAGCTGGGTGTGACTTAAAATAAGAAAGGAAAATATTTACTAAGATGAGTCAACTAATTGTTAAGCAATTAAACCTTAGCACGTAAAATTTAAAGACACGGCCGTCTATACTGCCTGTATTTATATTTTTTTTAAGGGTAATGTAGACAGAAGTCTTTAAGGGTTATGTAGCTACTAAACCTGGTATGGATTTTTTTTTTTTTTTTTTAAATCTCTATCACAACAAGATAAAAACAAAGACAATAAAAAGTGAGGGTCAAACATTCAAACCTGACAATAATGTACAATAACTACGTAAGGTAGAAAAATATCAATACTTACTTCATCTGCTTAACAATGGTACTCTTTCCGGATTCACCAGCCCCTAAGAAAAATACAATGCCCATGTGAAATGTAACTAAGTCTTATCAATGATTAGTGTATATACTTCTTCTTTACTTTCTCTGGCTTTACGTAGCATGATTTTTTTTTTTTGCTTATACCCATTTTAGGCTGAATCGGATCCCCATCAACTACAGTAAGGTTAGGATCAGAGTGGAGTACTATAGTTGTTTCTTTTTTTTTTTTTTTTAAATCAATTTATAACTATAATAAAACTTAAACTTATGGTCACAGTTGATAAGGTGAGGTAGGTATCTTAACTGTTGTATGGAGGACACAGTGCGCATGGGAATGGCCAATGTGCAATGACGTTGTCATAACATAACAACAGACTAGACTTGCTTTTATTTTTCTATTCATTTTTTTCCACTAAAACTTTGATAGTTTGGCTTAAAATTGACATTTTTTTTAGTATCCAGAAACCATGAGTTGTTAACCTTTTGGCTCGGTACTATGGATGTTGCAATTCTTCAACCTTGATTCCATGGAAGATACCGTAAATCTGGGAGAAATGTGGCTTTTCTGCCTACCCCCGGGCGTTAACTTAAACCACAGGGAGTTTGTCACCCGGTCGCCGCTTAGTAAGGTTTAACAAACTGCGCTAGCGAGCCGAGCTAGAATTTACATCATGAGGTACTGCTGAAAAAAGCTTTTCAATATGTATCCAGCTGTACTGGTTTTATAGGTAAAAAATAATTCTGAAAATTTGACTAACTAAAGTACCTGCTTGGACTTGATTGATTCCAAAGCCTTGTAACTTGTTTAATTAATCATTTTCTTCTTCTTTACTTCCTCTTTTTACCACTATGGGTGTCGAGGGAGATATAAGGTCCAGCTTCATGCTCTTCTGGCTGCTTCGACTATAGAAATATTGCGGTGCTGTAGAGTTTCTCTGATGTTATCTTTCCATTTGTTCTTGGTCCTACCTCTTGCTCTACGTCCCTCTCCTCTTTTGGTATATGCCATATGCCTTGTATGGTATAGCATCACAAGGCATTCTCTCCAAGTGGGCAAACCATTTGATTTGCTGCTTTCTTTGTATGTAATTCCGAATTGGTTCTGTACCGACTTTTATCTTCTATGACCTAATTCCTAATTTTATCTCTCCTAGTCACTACTAGAGTCTTTCTCAGACACCTTATTTCCATGGTTACTAATTTTCTTGTCTGTTTTGTTGTGAGTGACCACGTCTGGCACCGGTAGCATATGGTGGAAATGAATATGCTTTGTACGAAATGTCTCTTTTGCTGACTGGGATTGCCTTATGCTGTAAGACTGGGAGCTATTATTGTAATATCATGGTTAATTAAACATTTCATTAGATTAAACTGGTTTAATTTTATTTTTCCTGGGACAAACACACTAATAGAGTGATCACATCATAGCAAAGAATAACACAAATAACCAGTGCTTGGCTGCTTCACGAAGTCTCAGGCTAGCGCAGAAACCGCCCCTCACAATAAGAAACGTCGAACCTACCTAAAAGTAATAATTTCACTTCCCGAGCCGCTTTCTCTCCATCCATACGTAGAGACTTGTCGATCTGTTTTGATCGCTCTTGGGCAGCCTTGTCTTCTTGGCTGTTAACACACCCCATTGTTAAGTCACTTTTACACGGCTGATCTTCAATCAGTTAACACAAAATCCTCAGCGAAATGAACTCAAAACAGAACTGTAAACTTGAAAAGCACATTCATCCAGACTTAATTAGGTAACAAACAAGTCCTCATTGTAAAACGATTAAAAAAAAGCGAATGCCGCCTGTCGGCTCCGCTTCCTCTTAACATTTGAAACGGATGCCCGGATGACGGCTGCTGCGCCGGCGCAGTCGCAAACAAATTCTTTGGGATTGTTAAATCATAAATGGATGAAATAAGTACAAAAATGGGGTTTTCTGTTTTTATTATTATAATAAATAATATCATTAATAATCATATCATCAGATGGAAAATGTGTGACAGAGATTAAAAGCAGAATAGGTCAAGCGAAAGATGCATTTCAGAAAATGAAAATATCTTATGCAATAAATCACTCTCATTTAATGTCAAAAAAGAGGGTGCTAAAATATTAAAATGTTACATAGAACCTGTTCTGCTTTATTTCAGCGAGTCTTGGAATGTCACTGAACAAATTATGAAGAATTTGGAAGCTACAGAGATATAGTTTCTGAGACGAATGTTACGAATACCTTGGACGGCCAGAGTAACTAACATTTGGCCACATAATGAGAAAAGAGACATTGGAGAACATCGTGACAACTGGAAAGATCAGTGGGAAAAGGGGTCGAGGCAGACCAAAATGCCATGGACCGTGTTGTGTGGAAAGGACATTTCGGGAAGAGAATAAGAGTGAAGAAAGAAATGACTGCAGAAAGTATGAGAGCTGAGCGTCTGAAAAGAAACGGATTAAACACAAATGTTGGTAACAATGGTCCAGAAATCCCACGCTATCATTGCGGAAGAATTTTGTTAACACGGGCGGGTCTTGCTAGTCACACTCGCCACCGCCAAGGGCTGTGAGTCTCCTGCCTCCTCATAGCGCAATATAACACTATCGTCTGGAAATACGGAAAGGTGCCAATCAATAGGGGGAGGAGGTGTGGGGGCGGTTGTGCACATAGTTATATCAGGGCACCCAAAAAAAACGGGTACGACGTAACATGTAGTTCGGTGTGTGTGTGGGCAATAATAGTTTGAAAGGCCTGCTTTCAGATAGAAGAGGCTGGGGTGGACCAAAGCAGCGATCAACTCAGGATTTTCAGGACAACCTAGGCATGAAAGTTCACAAGGCAGAAAAACTGGCAGTGGACTCAACGGCCAGCTGTGATTGGAACGTTGTTCTGTACAGGATCTGCTACTACATGATGATGATGATGAAATAAAACTATTCAACGATCATTTTTTTCTTCGCGTTCACCGGCTGTAAACTCCTGCGGAAAGTTCTGGTTGTTTGTCTACCTCTAGACTTTAGTCTTGTTCCAGAACATGGGTGTTGCGTGCTCATCCATTTAACAGATCTGACTTTATAGTATGCAGATTATTGGTTCCTTGCTTCTTCGAAGTATGCCCCCAGTTATTCGACTCTTACGACATGCTTGTTGAGGAGGCAGTGGTCAGTTATTGCTCCCACCCCTCCCCCCACCCCATCACAAAGGCGTCCCGGAACCCACACGGGGAAAGAAACAATTTCGTCCATTGATAAAGAAACTTTGCAAGGGAGATAAGTAGACATAAGAAGTTCAACAGACAATATTTTGAGTTTTTCCCTTATTAGAAACAAAACCCTGAAAATTAACATCACACGCCATGGTTTAGAAAAGGGGGATCTCAGTCCTTTTCATGGGGCGCCCCCATTTGGTATGTGGCAAGACGACCGAAACCATTTCCACACTCAGCGCAACAGAATGTGACTCAAAAGAAGAGGACAAAATGAAAACTCGCAAGCGTGGTTAACAAGAGGTAGTTTTTATTAATTTTATTTACTTCCTTCTTAGGACGTAATTTTTTTTGTTATTCGAAGCCCCACCCTGGCTTTTGCCAGGGGCCGCAATATAGGCAGGCCATCAATATGGCCAATTGTCTGAACGCGGTTTCTGGGACCTCTCCACGGCGATCCTCATCCACATGGTGGCACTTTGTGTCATCTGGTGATTATCGCTTGTGTGATGTCCTGGGGGGCAGAAGTTCAGTTCAGTTCATGGCATTTTTCGTTAGTTGAAGTCCCACCCAGGCTCTTGCCGGGAGGCCGCAATATAACCAGGCCATACATATGACTGAACGCGGTTTCTGGGATTTCTCCACGGTGATCCTCATCCGCATAGTGTTTATCGCTTGTGTAATGTCCTGGTGGGGTAGAAAGTCAGTCTGTCAGTTTTCAACAATACCTTAATCATCCCCTTGTGGGATGCAATTTTTAGTTATTTTGAAGCTCTACCCTGGCTCCTGCCAGGGGGCGCAATATAGCCCGGCCATAAATATGGTCTAATGGCTAAACGCGGTTTCCGGGACCTGTCCACGTGTGATCCTCATCCACATGGTGGCACTTTGTGTCATTGGGTGCTTATCGCTTGTGTGGTGTCCTTAAGTTAGTTGCGTATCGGTGGCGCGGTGATTTATGTCACAGGCGTGAGGGGAAGTTAAGTCCAACATGATGTGTATAAGGAGATACTCTGTACGTCACTCGGGCGCCAGTCCTTTACTATCCTGGTTGTACGGAACCTCACGCAAGACCCCTACAGCACGTCCTCGTCGTGCGCCACGGATAATGTCTCAAATGAGCATTAACAGAGCTGTCAGGGGATCTCGGAGTTTGGCGGCCCCCAGAGGTGACGTGTCCTTGTGGCTCTCACCAGCCCGCCCCCAAACGCTTGGGTGAAAAATGTTATCAAAACTCATTAGGAACATGAGTAGGTTCGACAAAAGTACAGCTAAAATCACAACCCTTGGTTAAAAGACTGCTGAGTAAAGAGAACATTGCTCATGCTCATCCTCGGTTAATTCTCAGTGTCGTCGTCACCGCGCTGAGATGCAACACAACAGAAACCATACATGGGCTGGCCATCCTTGTGCATCCTCGGTTGGCCCTCAGTGTCGTCGTCACCGAGCTGAGGTTGCACCACAACAGCAACCATCCATAGGCTGGCCAGTCACGTACATCCTCGGTTAACCCTCAGTGTCGTCGTCACCGCGCTGGGGTACACCACAACAGCAACCATCCATCGGATGGCTAAGCCTAAATGTCCGACAAAACTAGATCATACGGATCAAAATCTGACCATCAAAATTTGCACTGAAATGCAAAAGGCCGAATGTCCATACCCAAAGACCCCACTCGCCCGAGTGTTGGGACAAAACTGAATAACGATATGCCTGATTCAGGATGTGAAATTCTGCCGGGCTAATGTACCTATCTGTGTGGTCACAAAAGTCCAAAACCAACGGGCTGCTCCCCGCTGACTTCCAGAGGGCGCAGCCCCTGTCGAGCGGGAGGCCTGATACGGTTGTGAGGTTAAGCAGGCATGTGCAGGACGTGACGATTCCTTGGGTGAGCCCAGAACCAGAGCGCCATGTGCCGGCTCTGCATGCATGGAAGCCTCCTTGGATGGCGGGGAATGCCCATGATCTGCCCCTGCCTTCCCTTGAGGGCCAACTGTTCCACAGGGGGTTGCCCAAAGGGGTACTCCGGGGGCAATACCTGCGGCGAAGGAGACAAGGCGGACACCACACAAATCAGTCAGTCTCGACCCACACAAAACAATGGCCACAGTCACCCTAGAAATAGGCCTGACGTCTTCCTTCGAAGTCGGCGTACAGCTGCCCAAGAGGCAGGGAAATTAAAAACGGTTGTACACGCAAAAATCAGGTCCAGGTGAAGGCCAAAAGTCCAAGCGGACGATTAACCGGGACCTTCCACTGGAATTCACAGCCGGTGTTCGATGGAAAAAAAAAAAAAAAAGTTGCGTATCCTTTACAGGACGTTGCAGAACCAACCCCAACAGCCCCTGGCTGTTGTGTGGTTTCTCTAGGCAATTTACATCCAGTAGTTTGCCATTGCTCCCTGGACAGTCGGCTTTCTTGATACCACTGTCGAAACCAACGCAAGGTGCATGGCCCGCAGCTGGGATATAATATACGATGTATCATAAATATGGGTACATATTTACCTATACATGTTTAAGCGCATGATGGCAACATGGCTACGAAAATGAGATTTTAGGCGTGAATTACAAAAGACAGCGATGTTCATATTAGAGACAACGTCGCAGATTTAGATAATCTAAGTCGGGTGAAAGAACGAACGAAGAAGCAGAAGAAGAGTATGTATCGTTTAACCTCACCACTACTGTACAACGAGCGACCAACACCCGGTCCCAGAAACCCTGTTCAACCGTTAGGTTATATTAGGGCCCCTGATGACAGCCAGAAGGGTTGAAGGGGGAGGGAGGGGGGTCCAAAATAACGTAAAAAATTACGTACTATAGTGGGACCGGTAATCAGAAGAAAAGGACCATTGGAAAGAATTTTTTTTTTTCAAATTAACAAAATACGGTTATATTAAGTTACTTAATTGCTTCATGTAATGTTTTGGGAAAAAAATCTTTGTGTGTGTGTATGGCTACTGGGTAGCCGGGGGAGGGGAGGGAGGAGAGGGGGGAGGCACCTACTACCCATCTAACAAGCACGTCGAGAAGGCGACTAATTCAGGGTTTGTTGAAATGGGATATTTCGGTCTGAAAGGCGCAGATATGACACAACCTAGGTTTAAACCATAACACAGCGTGGTTACACCCTTTTCAGGCAGCAACGCAGAAGAAGAAGAAAGAGGAGGAGAGGGAGGTGGAGAATGAGGAGCAACAGCAGAAAGAAAAAAAAAGAAGAAGAAAAGGAGGATGGAAGAGGAAGAAGGAATGTCACTTATTGTTTTCTTATGCACAAAACGAGTTAGCCATTTTCCCAGCTAACTCTGGACCACTGTGTTTGAGCCAATAGCTCGACAAAAGTCAACACAACTCCATTCATGAATTCGACCCATCCTTCCAATGTTTTAATCTTTTATTGGTGTTCCATTTATCCATGGATAATGATAAATTCTGTAACC